GAGTCCTTACACACTTCACTTGGATGCCTGAATATCTGCAGGGTTTGCGTCCTGACGTGGGGGGTGTATGTGCCACACAAGGGCAGCCAGAGTGCGGACCACCTGCTGCCTACTCGGCCCGATGAGCACAGGGTGTCCACCACCCCTAGCTCAGACCGATGTGCGGCTTTGCAGACATCCTGCTGACCTCAGTCCCCGCGGGCGACATGCTGGCAGCGCAGGACGGTTCACGCAGATCTGGCCAAGGCCATGGCCATGCATGGCCATCTGCTCCACGTCCATGCGGATGCTTCTCCTCTTCCTGCTGGGAAGTAGAAATAGGTGTTGTCTGTGCAGTGTCGGCATGAGAGTGTTTAGCGGAGACGCCATGCTGGCACAGTGGCCCTGGGTGAAGTTCACGCTGGTTACAGTGGCCCATCTGCATTTTCAGGGTCAGGCCAGGGAGTTTAGTGGCCGTGTGATGGAGACGGCCACCCGGTTCTCTTTGGGGAGCTGCCACGGCACCTGAAGTGGGAGTGGCAGGGAGCTTCAGGAGCCGTAGGCTCTTCCCTCCTTGGGGGCTGCTACCCCATACACCAAGCATTAACGTGAGGGTCCTGCCTGAGTGTGCCCTTGGGGGCTGGGAGTGGCCACAGGTGTCCAGGACGCCCTGGGCCTGCTGCCAGACACTTGCATCAGGACCCAGTGTCAGCAGGCCTGGGCACTGTCCCTTGCAGGCGGGGGTGGGGCTGGATGGCAGTTGGGGCGCTCTGCCGGCTCCGCTCAGGCCCGCACAGACGGTGTTGAAGTACCTGTGGGCCATCTTTGTCTTCCCCGCATGCACTCTGACAGATGACTGGCTCTGGAACTGGCGTAGCTTGGCAAGGGTCCTGACTTTCCGTTTTGGTAGCTCACGTCGCCTTTGACCCATCTGCTCTGGGCCTGCTCTGGCTGTAGCGTCAAACCACAACGTCACCAGCCACCCCTGCATCGCCGATCCAGAGACACCGTGACCGAGGGGCCACCCTGCCCATGCTTTGGGTCGAGGCCTTCTGGTGGCTGCTTGGGTCTTGCCGCTCACGTGGGAATCATGGCCCCTGTGCCGCGGAGGCAAGTGCTGCCACCTGGTCTCCTCTGTCCTGCTCCATGGCCCAGAGGGGCCTCTCCCACTTGACCTTGGCCTGCGGAAGTCAGCCACCGCGGACTTCCCCATAACACTTAGGTCCCGGACTTCCCGATAACACTCCATGTTCCTGTGTCCTCTGGGAAAGGAGTATGCTTTTTTGGTGCGTGGAGGGCCATAATCATCTGGCGGATGGCTCGTCCTATGTCGTGATTCCACGCTGGCAGCCTACCTCTGAGCCTTCTTCAAACTGCCTTCAATTCAATTGCTGTTGAACATTGTTTTGTCCCAGATTTGGAGCCATCTCAGGCAGACCCCAGGCAGCTAGCTGTCCTGGCCGGAGCAGGTCACCCATGGCGGGAGAGTGCCTCCTGCGGTCTGGTGAGCGCTCCCCTCTCCAGCCACCGGCCGTTATCGCGTCCACCCCTTTCATATACCAAAAATCCTCCCCAAAATGTGCCCTTCCGTTCCTGCCAGTGCACATGACCTGGATCTCCAGCCCTGTAGTGTTTGCCCATGGCTGGGACGGTGCTTCTCACCTGCCAAGGCCCTGGTTTGGTTTTCAAAGCCCCAAAGGGAGCTGGGCAGATACAGAGACGCCTCACCCTGTGAGGCCTTTGCGGTCTCCAGTGAGGGGAAGCGGCCGGCCTCTGGCTTCTTCCAGTTTGGGGGGTGTCCTGAAAGACTGGGAGCTCTGCATTCTTGGGGCTCTCTCCTCAAGTGACCCACCGAGGTAGTGTGTCCTCGCATTTCTGGCCTTTAGCAGAGAGCCTTGCTGGAGCTCTGGGTTAGGCTGCCTGCGTTCCCTGGGCTAGAAGCAGGGTTCAGCTCCCTGTTGCACCTATGAGTGCTGGGCCCTGCTGGCCCTTTAGGGGCGGGCTCTCCGCTGGGCCCACAGGTGCAGGTTCCCTGCTGGGCCTTATAGGTGGGAGATCCCTGCTGGGCCCATGGGTGCAGTGAGTGCCCTGTCCTCTGTGGCAGTCCCATCATACTACAGCTTGGGTCAGTGGTTGGCTGCCGGGGCCTCACACTTTCTTCCTGAGGGTCCTCTGGGGCAGTGATGACCCACAGTCCCAGTTGCCATGGCTTTTCTCCCTCCCGCTGAGGCAACTGCATGGCCACTGCTCCCTCGGCCCCCTAACTCACTGCAGAGGGTCCTTGCTCAGCAGTACCTCTCCTGTCCCCACACGGAGACAGGGTTGGATGGTGAAGGATCAAATTCCAGAATCCTGATGCAGGAGTCTCCTTCCTACCTACAGCTGGGCTATCCTCCTAGGATGAGAGCCCCCAAGGCAGACTTGGAGATAAGGATTGGCATGCCAGTCATTCATTTGGAAGGGGAGCCAGGGGCCAGAAGGAAGCTGCTAGGTAGGGGGACATTGTTGAGCAGCCTGCGGGAACCTGGGATTGGGGGTCCACAGGTAGAATACCCCTTAGAGTTACTTTGCCCAGGGGTGAGGGAGCTGGCGTATTTATCCTCCAAATCCCATAGGTCATGGATCAAAAGATGCTTCTGGAGGTACCAGCTTCCTGGCATTTTCAGCTGGTCTTGCAATGAAAAGCCCCGTGGGAGCTGTGAGCCTGTGCGAGGGTGCGGGAGGCGCAGCAGATCCCTGAGAGTTGGGGCTGAGGCGGCACTGATAGGTACCGACACCAGCCACGGGGCCAATAGGCATCAGCTGCCTCCAACACCCTGATTCTTTCTGCCGCAAGGACGAGGTCCCGGCCCCCTCTTACAGTTTCCCTTCTAACTAGGACTGCAGATAATAAACTGAACAACTGCCGATGAGAAGATGTGCTGGGCAGGAAACAGACTGAGGTTAGCGCAGGGGTGAGGGTGGGGGGCTCTCCGGAGGGAAAAGCACCCCAGGCACAGGGAACAGGGAGGACAGAGCACCCCAAGCAGGAGGGAGGGAGATGGTTTGTGTATGGGGAGGGAGAGGGAGGCAGGTGGCCCCATGGCGGCTGCCAGGGAGCAGGGCTGGCTAGAGGGCTCTGACGGGGGTGAGCTTTGCTTCAGTGTGATGGAAGCCCTGGCAGGTTACAACCGGGATCAGTGTGATTCCATGGCCTTCCAGAAGCTGCAACCCCATCACCTGCCCTTCCACCCACACGTGTAGGTTTTTCTTTAGCATGAGGCCCTGAAGACACGCAGGGGATTAGGTCCCTGTGCCCGGGGGTGCTCAGCTCTCCCCTCGCCTCCACCCTGCTCCACCAACTCCCTGCCCCTGCCCCTCCACGACGCTGGACACAGGTGATCACAGGAAGCTGGTTTATTTCGACTGGTTTTCCATGGGGCTGGGCTGGGCTGGGCTGGGAGGTGTCTGGGCTCTGGAGCTCCCTTCTAGGGAAGTGGGTCTCCTTCTTCAGCGCTGCGGCGGCCGAAGTCCATCCATCCATATGCTTCTTCTTCTTCCTCCTGCCATGGCCCCTGCTTCTTGGATAGGTCTAAGGGTCAGAGGTGGGAGAAGTGAGATGGGAAAAGGACTGAGGGCCAGCTTAGGTCAGCAAAGCTGGCAGGGGGAGGCAAGCAGGGACAGTTGTGGGCAGCTCCTACCTGCCACCAGGTGTGGGGAGCCCTGGAGTCCCAGCTGCCTTCTGTGGTGAGAGGCTGGGCCGGGCTGATCCAGCCACTGTGGCTCCAGGCCCCTACTGCCCCCTGGGCCCACAGGTGTGTCCTGCAGCTGGGGCTTCCAAGAGGCTTCGGAGAAGGTGGCCAGAGCCAGCGCAGAGATCAGCAGGTACACACCCAGTCGCTGCATCTTGTCTGCAAAGGAGAGGGGCGGGGCTTAACGCCGGGTCTGACCCAGCAGACTCAGGTCCTCTCCCGGGAAACATTTGCAGCTCCCAGGGGGGCTGGACACTGCACCTCCAGTTCCTTCTGCCAGCTCCTGCCAGTCCGCCCTGCCCCCGAACCTTGATTCTTCCTTCCTTCCTTACCCTACACAGCACCAGCGTGCTCTGAGGAACTGAAAACTCAAGTTATGCTTTTCAAGTTCTTCTGCAGAATCTGAGGCCCGGGGAGAGACTCTGCTTAAGTCTGGTCATGTAAAGTGAATGCTTAAATAGTCTTGGCAGCGCTCAGATGCATTACCGACAGCATTATCTCTTTGGAGATCCCCCGTGTCTTCACCAGTTTTTGTGGGACCACACGGTTTCTGTGCACGGCTCGAAGAGCAATTTCACTTGGCGTTTTTACTTGGCTGAGGAATATCCATGTAGCGAAGCAGTTAAAAAACGAACCTGGGTTGCCTTAGTGCTGAGATGTGTGGGCAGAATTCACACACCACCTACCTGTGCATGAGTTTGGGAAATCGACAACCCGTTCGGTTCCAGGCTGGGGGTCTGCACTGGGGACACGCGGGTGGGCACAGGCTCACCCATGCCGCGACTGGCCAGACAGCCCCGAGGCACTGGCCTTGCCCTTGAATTTTCCCTGGACTTTGTGATCAGGGAGGAAAAACTATTTTCAAAGAAAACGCAAGACCTGTCACTCTTTGCAGCTGGTATCAGGGCGCTGGAGTCTGGGGAAGCGAATGCCCTGGCCACGTCTGCGTGCCATGTGGCTGGAGGGTGTGGATGTAGGTGGAAGATGTCCCATGGAAGGGTCTTTGGGGTGTGCTGGTGTGGGAAAGAGTTCGCCATGGGACCCAGCACCCAGCCCTGACAATAATTTGCATGACTTTGGACAAGTCCTATATCCCTCTGGGCTTCAGCTTTCTCACCTAAGATGCAGGGGAACAGCCTTGGTCCATCTTACCTCACAGGGCTGGGGTGGGCGAGCAGCAGGCAGCCCAGAGACAAGGGTTGGGAAGACCAGGGTGGTCCTGGGTGAGACCAGGTGCCCTGGGCTAAGGGAAGGTTCCAGCCCTGGTCACCGGCCAGCCAGGCTCTCCCCACCCCCCCGGGGCACTTACCTGTGGAGCTGGAAGTGGTGATGCTGTGGCCAGCGGGGTGCCTCTCTGTGTCTGCTCTTCTTGGGGCTCCAGCCCCTCCTTATAAAGCCCTCCAGGCCCCGCCCAAGCCCCCCCCAACCTGGAGAGGAGCGGGGTGGGCTCAGCCACCTCAGCCCCGCCCCACCCTGTCACTGAGAAGCCGTCACCTGGAGGTGGACTAAGGGAAGGGGACTTGGCCTCGACGCGAGGGGCAGGGACAGGGCAGGGTAGGTCTGTAAGTGGACATGAGGACAGGCACGAGACAAGTTCCCTGGGTACAGGACCAACGTCCCCCACCATTCCTTGGGGTCAGAGGCCCGGAGCTCCCCCGGACCACTGGAGGACAGGCGCGGAGGGTGGGCCAGGTGTCCAGGCTCAGAGGACAGCATGCCTCGCATGCTGATGTTTGCGGAGCAGAGGTGCGGGCTGTGATGTATCGATCCCCTGTCCTGCTCTGCAAACAACGTTTGTGGCTGCCGGGAGGATGGGCTGTGGGCCGAGGGCCCGAGGCTTCGCCCTGGTGCTCTGACCACCTTTGCCCCCCTCCCCAAAGGGGGGACCACCTGCAGTCCCCCTCCCTCCTCCTCTGTGCTGGCTCCGGGTCAGGCTTGCATGTCCCCTCCAGCTCCCCAAGTCCTCCTTCCCCGCCTCCGCCAGACAATTCCTGAGGTTTCTGGCCTCGGTGCCTTCTTCATCCTGTTTTCCAGGGGAGACTCATCTGTACTCTTTATTCACTGCTCTTTACTATAAAACTGTCTCTTAGAATGTTTAGCAGAGGCCCTCCCTGGGGGCGCAGTGGGTTAAAGCGCAACACTGTGAAGCTAAAGCCACTTCAGCATGAGTTCCATCCCTACCTGCCCTGAGGTGACCCACAGGGCGCAGCAGACCTCTCCTGACCCGCCCCCTGCTCCCCTCAGCAGTGTGCTTTGTCAGTCGGCCTGT